AAATTAGATTAGTATTTAGAAAAAAAAAAAAAAAAAAAAAATGAAAGAAGAATACAGTATCTAAAGAAAAAAAGAATGGAAGGGAGGATTGAGAAGATAGAAAAGGGATGGAATTACAAAATGTGACTATTCCAATAATTGTTTGTCGAGAAATTTTCTGATGTTTGCAAATATCCATGGATTGGAATACGATAAAATTTCGATTCAAATTTATGACATAAAACTTAGTATTGATGTGCTCTATAGCAATAATTGTGATGAAGTCAATTTCTTTTCTCTTTGAATGACTTTCTAAGTAAAAATCTTTCATGCTCTTTTTCTTTTGTGGCAGATTAAAATGACTTATCCGTTCTTCGATTTTAGCTATTCAAAATAATACAACATTTGCGATTTGTCACATTTCCACATTACCGACGAATGTCAGGATTAAAACACTTTCCAACAAGGAACCTTTACTTAGTTTCTGCTTAGTTTCAGAAGTAGGGTGTAAAATCGAAGTTCTCGAATTACTTTGAAACATCTGTGTATTAATATTAACTCCTGCAATAAATTTCTAAAGTTCAGTGCAGAAAATTTCTTCATCGGATACATTCGAGCGGAGAGGTACGAACAAAACTTTTCACATCGCGAGGAAATGTCAAAAAAATTACCGCGTTAACAGTTGGTCCCGACTCTAATCGTTCTAATTAACTTCTCGCGAGAAAAGCACCAGCGGCCAGTGAAATTCCAACAGTCGACAACAACTGCCTGTCACCGAGAGACGGCGTGGGACGTGGGAATTCGTGGCTCGCGACAGGGAGGCGAGGGGCATCTGAATGCTTGGCAAATAGCTTCGATACCGATGCCACGAGTGGTATCGATACACCTCGCCCCGATCGAAATGCCATTCTCGACGACACGGTGGACACGGCCAGTTGACTCGACTGAATTAAAACAAGCCTCGAGACGCGTGTCGCTCTTATCGCTTGGAAATTACCGCCGCTAATTTACCGCGCGACCGCGCGGGATCCCCTGACTTTACACCTGAATAGCCTGAGGTATATCGCGGGAGTAACAACACAGATCTGTTGGCGTTAATTGCCAGAATGTCGGGCCAGCTAGCGCCAAAGTGGCGCCCCGAAACTCCACGCGCAAAGTCTCCTCGACGCCTAGCGCCGGTTCTTCAATTTTTCTTTCTCTCTCTCTCTCTCTCTCTCTCTCTCGTTCTTTTCCTTTCTTTCATTTATGTTTCTTTCTCGAACGATAAACACACGCCGATCGCCGGCCAAGGCGCTAATCGTATTCCGCCGCTAATAAATCAACGTCGATCGAGAAACTGGTCTACGAAGCCAGACGGGCCGAGCGTGCCTCGGCGTTCGAGCATGTGTGTTTTGATCATTGCGTAAAAATTAATTAAATATCGATGTTGTGTATCGCCGTCGCAGGTAGTTAACAGGCCCCGACAGCCAGATGTACTACGGCCGACGCATAGCTGATCACGGTTTTGCGGAATCGTGATTCGAACGTGGTCGGCGTATCCAACGTTGCGCGTGCGTACACGCGCGTGCCCGTATAATTATCCAGACGTATTTCCCATGGTTCGACGTCTCAATTCTGCCACGGATGCAGCAACGAAACGTCTCGGCGCCATCGCCGAGATGCGAGAGATTTTCACCTCTCTGTGCCGCGCGTTCGAACGCGTACTTTCTATCTGTATTATTGCCGCTATCTTCGATCACCGCCCAAGACTAATTAAAAGCTGGATCAATTAATTTCACGGTAGACCGGCAAAGTGTTATGTACAAACATTTATCAAACGAGAGGCCAAATAGCCACGCGTGCGCGTGCCCGCGGATGTCGTTTTGCAATTTGATTTCCTACCTCGCACCCAATTTGAAATTAGCATCGAATGGACGTGGAAACGAATGGAATTGCTCCTTCTCTATCTCAGAGAGGAGCAACGTTTCTCTGTTGCCTGTTGCAACGTTTTCGTTCCCCCGGATTCCTGCCGAGTCATTCGTGATAATTATTCACAATATCAATTTGCAACGCGAAGAGGAAACGATTCCCTCGACAAACGAAGGGACTCTAATCAATTAATCCCCGGCTAAGGCGATAAATTATAATGACACAGTTACATCACCAATGCCGCGTTACCTAACCGTACGCGCACCCGTAAATGCCTCGTAACTTGCTTCACTGTCTATTATCAATTAAAACCAATACATTATCAATCATATCATTGATTATATCGTCTATTATCGATTAAAATCTATACATTATCAATAAAGTTTGGATTGGACACGCTTCTCAACGTTAAACACTCTATAATATAGATACTTCTGATATCAATATTTTCTATCTGACTAGAAAGAATTTTATTTTACACGAGAGAATGAACACGTATACGCCTGTCGTCGTATAGTACAGCCAAAAAATAGCAGGGAAGAAATTGATGACAATACACATCGCACGTTCCGAAAATTCCACAATTCTCGAATTTTCTCGTTTCAAGGATTTCTCTCCGAGAATTGTGTTTAAAGCGTACCGAAACTTTGAGCAGATTCTGTTCAACGTTCAACGGGAAGGGTCGGGAATCCCTCGCGCGGAAATCATGAAATCGACGATGACGTTGCCCGAGCATCGTCGTTCACCTGTGAAATCACCTGACGTACTCCGGTGCCCGGCAGGTTGCCGCGACTCGCCGAACATCCGGCGATTTTCTAACATTACGTCCGCGCGTCCCTTTCCGAGCGCCACTCGTGTTCTCATGCATGACTTTATCGTTGCCGGGTCCCAACTGAATGAAACGGCAGCGGTATCATGCCCCGTAGTAAGTATCCCACTTGGCTCCCGCGCGATCGGCACACACGATCTCGCCTCCGTTGATCGCTCGATCGTGATCCAGGCCCCTGAGATGATAGAGGCCCCATTGGCCCGTTGAACTTTGAAACGCGCGGCCGAACTTGTGGAAACGAGATCCATTCACGGCGGAGACCGTGTTCCCCTTGTTTGCCAATGTTTGCCGAAGAAACGAAATGAAGTTTTAGGGTCGGACGTCTACACGGATCGGAGGCTTCACAGAACGTGTACGTGTATACGGTGGATGCTAATGACACGCGCTTTTGGGACACGAGATACTTGCGGTGTTTCGTTCTTTATCAGGTTTTACGTTTCGTTCAGTATCGAATTTTGTAGTCGTACGAAAGAGCGACTGACGATACGAAACTGGATACAACTTGGACCTAATTAATTAGCGTGTCGCGATATCGCAACCAATTAATCCTCGAGTTCTATGGATCGAGTTTATACATATATCGATTACGTTATGCGCCGTTCGACTCGAACATCTTCCCGCTGTTTTATTCGCGAAGCGTGTCTCGCGATACTTGCTGTTATCGCGATACACAAATCCCCCCACACGAGGAACGAGCCCAAACGTTTCGAAGGTAATTATGAAATCCACGTGTACTCTGCAAAGAGGCTGCAACGGATCAAGCCGCGTTGCGAAAGCAACTTCGATTGGGAAGGAGACTATGAGAATCGAGTTGGTCGTGTTAATCAGTCTAATGATGTAAAACGATCGTGGAATAAAGCGGGAGGTGGAAAAGAGGTACAAACTGCAGTTGTAATTTCAGATTCAGTCTTCTCGCGTTTCGGTGGGCAGGCTAATCTGCGAAATATAATTAGCCCCGGTGACTAACGCGAATGGTTTTGCTAAATTTAGCGAAATGCAATCATAACAGCGCAGGTGGCCATTTCACCCTTTTCAAGTGTTTGACAAGCCGGGATTGTACCCGGTGAGCCCGGTGCGCGTAGCGAGGCTAGTTGTGAGTCACACTAGGGCTAATTATAATCCTTTCGACCGTAGGTATCCACCAGGTCTCTCCTGTTGTTCTCTTTCCAACGCCAATTTGCATTTTACGACGATAATGTTGTTAATATTAATCATTGGGTCTCTCTTCGAAAGGCAAATACGGATTAAAAGGTAACGGATTGAAGAGCGTGTCAAAATCACTCGCTCCTTTCTCTCTTTTTTAGTTAGTTAATATTTCCCAATGATATCATTATTTTATTATCGATTCATTTGAAATGAAATACATTTTCATACGGACAGAATAGATGTTATTTTCAATGATTAGAAAGTAGTTTTTCACGTCACTTTGATTTCTATGCTTTTCGTCGGTTTTATCTAGAAAGTTATTCATAATAGCGATCTACTAATATTCTGCGTAGTGTAGATAATTTACAGCTCAATGCAATTTCGTAAGAGCAAATCAGAATGTACCCTAACAAATTGTATCTTTATTAATGTTGATTCCTTGTAAACGCAACATATTCACAGTCAAGAAAATTAGCCATGATTTGCAAAATGTAAGTCGCTTTTCTGTAAATTACTATCACACTGATAATGATCCAGACAAACTGAACTTGTATATTTCTTTTCTGTTAAGTGAGCCAAACGATTCAATAATCTCTAACTCTGGCAAATATTTACGAAATAAGATTTCGTGCTCGAAAGATCTAGGACAGATAGAAACGCAAGTATAGTTGCGAAACGATATAGTATACGCGATACACGACGCCGCGGTACAGTTTCGATAATCCGAGTGACCCCAGGGTTCGTGGAATTGACCGATACGTATTGATATTTACGCGGCGAACGTTTCACCGATGCCGCTGATCGCGTTGCTCGCTCTGTTACAGGTGCAGAAGACAATGCGCGTGAGGTCAAGGTGACGGCCGAGCATGGAGACCATGCAGGACAGTGGCGGGTTGCTCGATGGCTCGAGAGGAAGTGTCGCGCCGGGTCTGCCCATCTCGAAAACAGTGAATCAGTTGAAAATAGTGGAAAGTGGTAATGAAAGTGGCAAGCTGCTGACCGCAACCAAATCGATGGAGATGGATCCGTACAAGGAGTTGGAGCTGTATCTCGCCAAAGTCAACGTGAGTGTTTTCTTTTTCTGTAAACATTTTATTTCACCATCAACCCGAGAATCTGCGTAACGCCCGTTGAATTTTGCACGCTTGCTGGTAGAAACTGGAAATGTTCTCTGTTGCAAAATTATTTACGAAACAATATGATACGTCTTTGAATTTACTCGGTTTAGTTGAAGGAGTCGTTGATTCTTAGTTGAAAAAAGTCTTTATTCTGTCAGCTCTATAATCTTACCATTGTCGAGAAAATTACACCTTACATTTCACGTGTCTGTGGACGCGAGAATGTACTTGCAAGTTCAAGTTCAACGTTCGAGATCAATCTGTCGTGATATCTCATATTCAAGGGATGTGCGTGGATTTTTGTGACTGACTGTAATCCCTAAACTGAAAGAATTTGGGCGATTCTTCGCCTAATATCGAAGGAAATTGACGGTGATTCGTAGTTTCAATCACGGTCGAACGTAAGCGACGTTTCTAATGAAGCGTTAATACGATCGCGTTCGCAAGGGAGAACTGTTCGCCAACACGACACAACACGATTCGGTTAGGAATCGATCATTTAGTTTATCGGTGTTCTCGCCGAGATCGATGCACAACAAATTGAACGTGACGCCGTGATCGCAGTGCGAGATTCCGAAACACGTTTCGTCCATGACCGCCATGGTCCAACTCGTCGTTCTCTTGTTTTCTCCTCGTCTTCTCCTCTTATTTCTGTTCTTGTCTACCGCGATACGACGCGTCTTAGAGCGTCCGCCGAGTGCAGAATTAAATACCTGGAATGACACGTGGAAAGTTGTAATCCAGTTTTCGTTTGCGAGTTTTGTCTTTCAACGTCCTATCGGTTTCGGCGACTCACGCCAGGTCGTATTAAATTCGCCTCACGAGAAATCCCGCTCTGGTTGACAAGGGATTTTAATACTTACCGGGTATTTTTGGCGATCAAAAAGTAATCGAGAATTCATCTCATCAAGTGTAGCATGTTGTACGTAATATTTGCAAGTTAGTTCCGAAGAAGTTACGTTCAAACTTCCACGAATCAGACGAATTTAACAAATATTTCTCTGGACTGTAACAGTGGCGAGTTATTTTAATTTGAAAGAAAAATTAAGTTTAATTAGATGTCGTGAACTAAAATAGTATGTTATATTTACATAACCTTCGCGAGAGTTGATTCCGAATACATACAAATTTCCAGGAATCAGACAAATCTTGCAAATGATTTATTTAACAGAGTCACGTTATTTTAAACACTTTAAGAAAGATTTCAAAATTCAATCAGATGTCATGAATGTCCAACTGTTTGGCTCTTCTTGGCCTCATTGGCCCAACAAAAATTTTTTAAGATTTGCACGTAGTTTACATTGTTTTTTTCTTTTTATTACCTATGTAATCTATATTAAAACAACTTTTATAGTAAAACAATACACACTGATCAGAAAAATATATTCATATTAATGGAAAAAATATGAAAATTTTTAAAAGTGTCAAGTGCCGAAAAGTATTTTCAAGATGCTCGTTTAACATTTTTCAGCAAATCTGAGGGGCATCATGAACATTTATGGTTGAAATTATTCAAACATTAACATTCTCATTCAGTTATTTCAATTTTGGTTTATACAGCGCGCGCCTGCTATAAAATCTAAAATTCCTTGGAATTAAATTAAATTAAATCGTAGATCTTCGAGATCGGACTAGACGATTTCTGGAAGTTGCGGAAGAAAATAGTAAAGAGTCCACGTCGGCTTTGCGACGATTAATACCGCGAGTCACTTCGGATTCGTATCGCGAGCGAACGATCTCGCGATCGCCGCTTATTATCTCGTCGGATTCCCTCTTGCTCTCGCCTAAAATCGGTACACCTGTTCCAGAATCTCGGCCGGTCGAATTTAAAACGGGACGAGGCGGCGTGTCGGTATGAGAAAAAGGGGCGCGCGAGACCGGTTCCCGTCGCGCGAGTCTCGAAAGCTTGTACCGCTTGGCCGCGGAGCAATTATTTCTGAAAGAAGCGTATCGTGTCGGTGCGTCGATGTATCTGGTCTAAGTGCGGTACGCCAGACCATCGGTGATCCACCGATGCATGTCGACGCGTTGCAACGCGAGCATCGGAGCCGATAGTTCTGCAGGGAGCGCGCGCGGAATTCCGATCCGGACGTTGCTTCTAAGAACGAATGTCGACGCGGAAGCAGTCCGTCATCCTCCCGCTATCCCCGCGACGTTTCAGATGACTCAGGCTTTTCAGTTAGTTTGGCTTCTTTTTCTGTATCTCGTTGCGACGTGATTCTCCGTACAGTTTCGCGCAGGAAGCTGCAAAAAAATTGGAAATTCGAATTGATGATGGTGATATCTTATCTGTATCGCGATGGTTTGGTTTCGATTCTCAATTACGCGTACAATGTATCTTGCTGTTGAAGCAGCAAATAGCTAATTGTGATGAAAGCGTATCCATTGAAGAAATAGTAAGGGATGATTTCAGGGGTATTTTTTTCCAGCAACAGTTGTTTCTTCCAATATTCCTACAATATATATACAGAATTAATGCTAGAACTGCCAACGATTAAAGCATAAAATTGATCGAGTCCAAAGAATAGAGAAACTTTGTAACAAAATGGAGAATTTAGAAGCTTCTATTTATATATATTTTACGAAAAAATTATTTACATTCTTAAAAATACACTGGTTATGCGCTTGTAAAATGTCTAACAACAATTGTAAATTATAAATTGGTCATTTTGATCAATCACTTTGGTAGTTCTTAATAGTGTTAAATATTAGGGTAATAATATCTATGTGTAACATCGTTTTTTTAATATACAAAATTTTATTTTTTTAAAATTGTCGCTAAATGGCAACGTTTACTAAATTTGAAAAAAATGGCGTTTCTCATTGGCACCTCTATTGTTATACATAAATTCATCTTCTATCGTTCAAATTTTGTTAAGAATTCAGCAACGTCCCTCCCGTCTCTTAAATGTATATTAAAATTTAACATTTAACATCCGACAAAGTTACTAAAGACAATGAAACATCAATCCATACCACCACAAAATTAAACAACCCTTACCGAGCAGGCATTTCGATTTTGCAAAGGAAGTTTTTCCTCTCTCCTTAGAAGAGTTTCATCCGTCGAAAGCGTTACACACGCGTCTATTTCGCGCGAGAGGGTCCTTCCCGCGGCGCGTCGGTCGAAGAGATTTGGTCAAGGTTACTTCCTCAGTCAAGTAGCTTCGGTCTTCAATCCTTGCCTTGTTTTCTCTCGTTTCTCGATTGCCTGAGAACGACAGCTTCGCTCGATCCCTCGCTTATACGAATATATATTTCGTGAACAGAAGGAGAAGGAAGGGTTGGGGGCGGGAAGGCGTGGAAGGCGAGAGAAGTCTCGTTGGCAACAAAACAAAAATAATGAAATGGCCGGCTCAAGCGCATCTTTTCCCTTGGCTCGCTGGACCAAGAGAACCCGAGCGTTCGCACGGTCGCGAGAAAACGCAAAAACACTCGGTGGTAAAAAGCGGCGGAGATCCGTTTAAGTCATCTGTTGCTCAGCTTGTCGTTGATCGCGCGCGCGCGCTCGCGAGCAACCGCCTCTAGGCGAATGACGCTATACTGTACACACAGTTTCTTTTCTTTTCTTTTTTTTTTTTTTTCCTTTCTCGCCGGCTGGATAGTCTCGCAAGGCTTTGCAAGCACGCTCGCACCGACGCGGAGCCACGAGGCGAATTAATTGCTTCGCGGATAATTAATTAAGCAGTTAGGCCGAACAACCGGAATTAATTGGACAGACGCTACTCGCTGAAACTGGCTGGTGCGTCTTCGAACGTTGCCGTTGCGCCGCTACGGAGAAACGAGCCACGTTGGTGTTTGAACGTGTCACAGGAGACGCTCGTGGCAAATTGATAATCAGATAGTACAAGACGAAGAGTTCTTATTAATTAATTTTTACGCGTGTGTTTGTTCGTTAGTTGCGAACAGGTGGTCGGTAAAGACGTAAAGTTTCCCCTCGCGAGGAACCGAGCTTTATCAAAGTTGATGCGTGAACTGTACATTTGTGCAGCGGCGTTATTTAATTAAGATTGAGAATATTTCAGCCAGCTTCACAAATACTCCTCGATCGCTGTGGTAACTTTTCAAAAGTTAATGCAAGTACCATAGTCTTTCGCGAGTTTACTCGGAATATACCCCCAAAAACATCAACAACTTGTAGAACGTATAGTAAATTCCAAATACAGAACGATGCAATAAATTTACATGCTCTTTATCTGCAATATAATAAGAACGTGTAGTAAATTCAATGATATAGTATTGATATTAGCAACAGACTATCTGCAATTTCGCCTTATAATTAATCGTTCCGACAAACGTAACCGCTTAATGAACCAATTAAAGTAACGAACAGTTACTCGGAGCCCAAAGCTCTGAAGCCGAGAGCAAACGCTATTCCGGATAACGTGCAATTCGCTCGAAGCTGGCAGGCAATTAATTAATGAAACCAATTCGCCGACCGGCCAGTTGGATTAATCGGTTAAATTAATCGGCCGGCGACCGTTGGCCATTCCGAAAGCTTGGGCGTGGAATTCGCGCGGCAAGGTTGATCCTCCTGATTCGTAAACGTATGTACAGGGTGGAAAGAAAAGTTTGCCCGTGACTATCATAGGTGAATTCTACACTTACGGTTTGATGAAAATACATGTAAAGAACCTGCCGAAAAATTGACCTTGACCTTGAATTTTGGAGTCAAAAAATTTTTTTCCTACTCATTGCAAAAGTAAAACTTCCCCGAGGAACCATAGATGGTAATAGTTCTCCTGAGAAATGGCAAAAAAGTTTCTTAATCATTCAACACTGAAGACGCGTGCGTTCTAACAGCGTCTTTACGGATGTAATGTTTATATTTCGAATAATATGAACAGTTAGTCTTATCATTTGATTATTTAGACTCACACTGATGTTACAACTATGACGAATCAAACCTAATGCGAAAGTTACGTGAAATAGACATCCACGAGTTCAGA